GGCTTCTTAGAGTAAATCACACTGCTGCATTGACCCCGGGGAGGGTAGGTGTCTCTTAGAGAAAGCAGTGGAACCAAGCACTTAGGCTGTCCATTTGTATTCTGCTCACCTCAATGAAACAAAAGCTACCTGTAACCAAGAGCCAAGATACAGTTAAAAGAAGGAATTCATTAAAAAGATATTCTCTGAATTGATAGTTTTTATTTTTATTTATTTATTTATTTTTGGTACTAAATATTGAAACAGGGGTACTTAACCGCTGAGCCAAATCCCCAGCCTGTTTTTATTCTATTTATTTATTTGTTTGTTTGTTTATTATTTATTTAGAGGCATGGTCTCCCTAAATTGCTGAGGCTGGCTTAGGACTTGTGATCCTCCTGCCTCAACCTCCTGATCTGCTGGGAGGATTGATAGTATTTTTAAAGTCACTCATACATTGAAGGCTTTGAAAGAGTATTGACTCTACCACTTGAAACTAAGGAAGAAATTTAATTTAAAAAGGGAATGTTCTTTAGAAATATTTGCAGTTATTCCCAAATACTTTGTCCTTCCCTCTGCCCTCCAGTCTTTTCTTCCTGCTGTTCTCAGATCCAGTAAATAAAATCTTAAGAAGCCCGAGTTTATTCTCTCAGGGATCCATTGGGACTACCTCATCTGATGTGCCTATTCATATTAAATTAATTTTCTCTTTACATTTCTCCCATATTTTTATTGGTGCATTAGAGTTGTACATAATGATGAGATTTGTTGTTACATATTCATACATGCACACAATATAACAATATTAAGTTGGTCAGTATCACTGTCCAGCACTTCTCTCCCTCCATGGAGTGGGACCTTCCTTTCCTCTACTGATCTCACTTTGATTTTCATGAGATCCCCACCCCATCTCCTTCATTGCCTTTTTCTTCTCTAGCTTCCGCAATGAAAGAAAACTTAACAACCTTTAACCTTCTCAGTTTGGCTTATTTTCCTTAACATAACTTTCACTGCTCCATCCATTTTTTTCAAATAACATAATTTCACTTTTCTTTATGACTGACTTAAAACTCCACTATGCATATATTCCACATTTTCTTTATCTATTCATCCATTGATGTATACCTATTCTGGTTCCGTAGTTTGGCTATTGTGAATTGAGCTGCTATAACATGGATATGAAGGTATCATTGTAGTATGATGACTTTAATTCTTTAGGATAAATACTGAGGAGTGGTATAGCTGGATCATATGGTGGTTTCATGCTTAGTCTTTTTTTTTAATAAATCTTTTTTAAAATATTTTATTTATTTTATTTTTATGTGGTGCTGAGGATCGAACCCAGGGCCTCGCACGTGCTAGGAAAGTGTTCTACTGATGAGCCACAACCTCAGCCCGTCATGCCTAGTCTTTTGAGGAACCTCCATACTGATTTCCATAGTGCTTGTACTAATTTTACAATCCCACCAACAGTGTAAAAGTCTTCCTTTTTCACCACATCCTGTCCAACATTTATTATTATTTGTATTCTTTATGATTACCATTCTGACTGGTGCAAGATGAAATCTCAGTATAGTTTTGATTTGCAGTTCCTTATGCTAATGATGTTGAACACTTTTTCATATATTTCTTGACCATTTGTTTTTCTTCTTTTGAGAAGTGTCCAATTCATTTTCCTATTTATTAGTTGGGTTGAATTTTGGGTGTAAGTTTTTTGAGTTCTTTATATATTCTAGGTATTAATCCTCTGTACTTACAGAGTAGCTAGTGAAGATTTTCTCTCATTCTGTATGTTCTCTCTTCATATTCCTAATTGTTTCCTTTGCTGTGCAAAAGCTTTTTAATTTGATGGCATCCCATTTGTTAACTCCCAGAATTATTTCCTGAACTTTAGGGGTCCTCTTGGGAAAGTTATTGCCTTTGTATATATACTGGAGTGTTGACCTTATGTTTTCTTTTAGGAATCGCATTGTTTCAGGTCTAATTCCAAGGTCTTGGATCCATTTTGAGTTGATTTTTATGCAGGGTGAAGATAAGGGTCTAGTTTCATTTTTCCACATATGGATAATCGTTTTCCCAGCACCATTTGTTTAAGAGGCTGTCTTTTCTCCAATGTATTTTTTTTTTTGTCAAGGGTCAGATGAATGTAGATGTGTGAGTTTGTCTCTGTGTCTTCTGTTTTGTACCATTTGTCTATGTTTCTGTTTTTATGCTAGTACCACGCAGTTTTTGTGATTATAGCTCTGTGGTATAATTTGTGCAATCCCCACCTAGGATTGGTCAGAGTTAGCAGATAGAAATACAGGATATTGTGGTATTGTGATACCTTTACCATTGCTTTTTTAGCTTAGAATTGCTTTGGTTACTCTGGGTCTTTTATTCTTCCAATTGAATTTTAGGACTGTTTTTTCTAGTTCTGTGAAAAACGTCAATAGTATTTTGGTGGGAATTGCATTGAATCTGTACACTGCCTTTTATAGTATATCCATTTTAACAATATTAAGTCTGCCTATCCATGAACTTGGTAGGTCTTACCATCTTCTGAAGTCTTCAATTTCTTTCTTCAATGTTCTAAAGTTTTCATTGTAGTCTTTTCATTGAAGTCTTTCACCTCTTTTGTTTTCCTGATTTCTTTCTCTGCAGTTTCATGGTTGGTTATATATAGGAAAGCTCTTGATTTATATTTATTGATTTTGTAAACTGCTACTTTGCCATATTTGCTTATTAGCTATAGCAGTCTTTTGGTGGTATTTTTAAATTTTTTTCAGATCTTCTAAGTATGGGATCATATTGTCTGCAAACAGTGATGATTTGACTTCTTCCTTTCCTGTTTTTTTTTTTTTATTCCTTTTATTTCTTCTCTTGCCTAATTGCTCTGGCTAGAATTTATAGCACTAATTAAATAGGAGTAGTGAGAGTGGATATCCTTGCCTTGTTCCAGATTTTAAAGGAAATGCTTTCAGTTTTTCCCCATTTATTTTTGAGTTGGCTTTGAGTTTTTCACATATAGCCTTTATGATGTTGAGGTAGATTCCTTGTATCCCTAGTTTCTTCAATGCTTTTATCATGATTGGATGCTAAATTTTGTCAAAGGCCTTTTCTACATCTATTGTTTCTCTTTAAATTTGCATTTAAATATAATTACTGCTTCCTTGACCTTTTAGCAGATTTTTCACTTATTTTAATTGTCCTATGGTACTATAATATCTATTGTAGGGATGGGGATATAACCTAATTGGTAGAGTGCTTGCCTTGCATGTATAAGGCCCTGTGTTCAATCCCCAGCACCACCAAAAACAAAAAACTATTGTAAATGTTCACATTAGACTCTTCTTCCCTGGTAGGTGTTTTTTTTTTGTTGTTGTTTTTGTTTTGTTTTGTTTTGTTTTGTTTTGTTATTCAGGCTAACCTAAAACTCCTATCTAACCCTCCTGATTATCTGACAGATTACAAGTGAAACCACCCTCACCCAGGTCCTGATAGCTTCATTCTAAAGCAAGAATGAAAAGCAAGGGTTTACTAGATATAGGCACCTGAATTCTGGTTTAATACAGGGACTCTTCATTTACTAAAAACTAAAATTATCAGGGCAATTGGGACAAAGCTAAATAGAGTCCAGATCTGATATTTTTCCCCATCCTTCATCAATTTGGAATTTATAGAGAAGTCTTTAAGGGAACCCTTTTGGGAATGACTGGGAATATAGAGTATAGAGCACTGTTATGCAATGGTGGTACTGAGGTTTGGACATTCTTTCAGAATGAAACTTACGCAGTATGTTCTGGGATTCTAGAACAGCTGCCTAGTAACAGAGAAACTAGGCATCTGCTAGAGCTTCCTGTAGCCCACAAGGAGGAAGCAGGATTGCCAGAAAAATACAGGACTCCCAGTAAAATTTGAATTTCAGGTAAATATTTTATTTTAAAAGAAATATGTCCCAAGTATTCCAGGGACATATTTCTGCTAATAATACCGTCAACTGGAAATTCACATTATCTGATATCCTGTATTTCTATCTGCTAACTCTGGCCAATCCTAGGTGGGGATTGCATGAAAGAATAAGGACTAGTGGGAATGAGGCATCAATAGAGCTGGTAGCCCTACTGCCAGGAGGAGGGGAGTAAGAGTAAGACAGGAAGCTGGGGATATAGCTCAGTTAGTAGAGTGCTTGTCTTGCATGCACAAGGCCCAGCACCATCAAAAAAAAATTAATAAAAGGCACTTGGAAGGGGGCAGAAAGGAAAGAAGACTGCTTATCTCATCCCTTACTAATGACAAGCAGTCTACTTAAGTCTATGCTATATAAATAGGGTTCCATTCAGAGATCTGCTTAGAGGAAGTCAGAAAATAGTAGAATGAAAGAAAACACAAGAGGCAATACAGAGAAGTAAATTTAATAAGTCTTGAAAATAGTCTTTAATTTTCTCAAATCATCTCCATTTTACGCTGTTTGAAGATTTCTGAAGTTCTCCCTAGTTTGTTTTTCATTGACAATATTTGATCTGGCAAATGCCTCCAGAGACTACAATATATACAACTTGCTTCAAGTGAGCAACTAAAATAAACAAGAAGATAATTATCTAGTCACTGAGGCAGCTGAAATTTTTTTTTTTTTTTTTTTTTGCTAGCAGAGTATCCTCAGAAGTATACTCTAGTCAAATAGATTGGGTTATTCAGATAACTATGATAATTTTCTTTTTTAATAGTTTTTAAAAATATTTTAGTTGTATATGAACACAATGCCTTTATTTTTATGTGGTGCTGAGGATTGAATCCTGTGCCTTACATGTGCTATGCAAGCGCTCTACCGCTGAGCTACAACTCCAGCCCCAATAATTGCTTATAAATAGCAGTAACGTGAAGGTTTTTGGGGTGGCTCTTTACAAGAAATTTGCTATGAAGTTCATTTCAACCACATTGAAATGACTGCTCCAGTTATCTCTTTGATGCTATTTAAAATCTTGTTTAAGAAGCAAATACTTAAAAAATCACTGATAGGTTCCTTAATCCCCAGTATGTTAGAGAAATAAATTCATTTTCAAGAGACTAAGTCACTTTGTCTCATCACTTTCAACTGAGCTAGATAGAACATTATTAGGTTTCAAGTTCAGTTCACATCTATGTATTTATTTTATTTTTTTTCAAGCATATAAAGCAGGGTTTATTTTAAAAGGGGTAACAGACTTCTCCCGGGAGGGAGAAATGGGCCATTGCTGGTATCCTGGTATCCTAAGAAGCGAGGTGTTCTGTCCTTTTTATATGTCTAGGCTTCCTTTGTTCTCCTGCCGTTTCCCCCCTTATCTTTCTCCTTCCTGTGTTCATGACTAGGCCCAGAAATGCTCACATCTATGTATTTAAAGACCTTTTGTTGTTGTTTTGTTTTGTTTTTGTACTAGTGATTGAACCCAGGGATCCCCAGCTCTTTTTATTTTTTGAGACAGGGTCTCACTAAATTGCTAAGGCTTGAACTCTCAATCCTCCTGCCTCAGCCTCCCAAATTGATGGGATTACATGTGTTCGCCACCATACCTGGCCTAAAGTCTTTTTTTTTTTTTTTTTTTTTTATGGTGATGGGGATTGAACCCAAGATCTTCTGCATGTAAGGCAAGCACTCTGCCAACTGAGCTGTATCCTCAGCCCTAAAGTTCATTATTAAAGGAGATCTCTTGTGGTATTTATGACAACATCAGAACAGAAGAACATCAGTGTCCTGATACATGCAAATGGAATTCCTGAAAATTCTGTCCATTTGGCTGTTGTAGAGCACAGTGGAGTGCTGCGCTGGGAGAATGGGATAGAGTCATCACCTGTATGAAACAGGTTCCTTTGGAGGTAGCTATGGCAAGACCTCGAAAAGGTAAGTCCCCCATCTAGACTTGTTACCTAAGATGTACTATAATAATATAGTATATCACCTCCTATGTCCATCTTTTTTAATGGGCACTAATAATTCTTTGGAAGTAAATTGTTCTTGAAGTTTCTTCTTTTCAATGACCTTGCCCTAGAACCGAAAGTTACATTTTTTTAATCCTGTTCCGTAGCTGACATCTATTACTATTGTTCGTACGTATATCCATTTTCTAAAAAAAGAATCATTCTGTGTACACTTCTTTGTAACATTTTTTAATCTGACAGAAAATGAACACTTTTTCTTGTTCTTATAGTCTTCTACCACTTCTTCCTTATGTATTCTATTATGTAATCATAAAATGTAAGTTTATAAAAAGAATCAACTAGCTTAAATTACGGCATTGCTGTATATCATAAAATACTATTCACATATTTTTATACTCAAATTTCTCCTCAAGGTTTGCTTGTGTTCAGAAGGAAATTTGTGTTTCAGGAAGCTGTCTCACTGATAATAGCTATTGGCTCAAATTAAAGGTCACGTCCTTTGGCACTTGGTCCATTCTGGCAGGAGTGGTCAAATCCTTAATGAAATGGGTATTTTCCAAATCAGGCCCTCTGATCTCTGCTCCTAAAGAAATAAACTCTGATCAGACCATGTTTTTGATGAGAACTGCTGCTTTACACCGATAAAGAAGTTTTTTTTTTCTTTTTTTTTTTAAGTCATGTGATTCTTTTTGTTCCTTGACACACCAAGGGAAGTTTATGTGAGGAAATCAGTATTGAACAGTTTGTACTGTTCAGATGTCAATAGGATACATTTTTCTTCCCTTGCCAGTATTACTGCAGATTTTAACTCCATAAAGATTTCAACTCCATCCATGTTCTGGTCTCATTGTTTGTTTCTTAACCTCTTCTACTCTTGGTTTTTGGCGTCTGTGAATGGCCATCCTGAACCTCTTTAATTGCTTAAAACTGCTCTAATTTCAGGATTTCAAACTTTGAAATTCCTCATTTGGACCATGACTCCCTTACCTGCCCTACTTCTTCAACCCACCCACCAGTCCCTTGACTAGTTTTTGGGCCTGTCCCTTCCAAGCCTACCAGGCTTCTATTGCCCATCCCCATCTGGCTTTACTTCCTTCCTCCCCACCTTTTTCACTCCACCCCTCAAAGCATTCATATGAGGAACTGCTTCAATAGCAGTCCAGATAATTTCATTCTTTTCACCTCCTACGTCCATCTTTTCAATTCCAGACCTACTGTAGAGTAGCCACATTCTACTTTCTTCAGTCCTGTATACCACCGTATTGCTAAAAAAAAGTCATGAAATTATGCTGTTGGAACTTCACTCTCATTTGAAGGTCCTTTTTATCCATTTTGCATTGAATTCCTTTACAATCTTGAAAAACAACTAATTTGAGGTTCTTATTTTTTCTCCTGTAAGTGGTGAAGGTGAATGAATCTGAGTGGCCACAGGCTACCCAGGAGATGGTCAGTTGCAGTACTTATCAAACTTTAATGGGTACAGAAACACTTGGAGATCTTACTTAAAATGCCAGTTGTGGGCCAGGCATGGTGGCACATGCCTATAATCCCAGCAGCTCAGGAGGCTAAGACAGGAGGATAGTGAGTTCAAAGCCAACCTCAGCAATGCCAGTTTTAGGTGAGGATATAGCTCAGTGGTAGAGTGTGTGCTTAACACCAAAGAAAAATATGTCAATTCTGATTCAGGTGTCCCTGGTAATGCCAATGCTGCAGGTCATAATTTAAGTAGTAAGGGCCTCATTGAGCTCCAAGATTATTTTTTTAAAAATAAAAAGGGTAACACTCATGATTCTAAGTCATAATCATATTTTTCATTCCCAGCAGACAACTAGAAACTGAAAGCCATGAGCCTCTCCAGCAATGTTTATCCTTTCCTATCCTGAGGCTTTTCTCCCTTTTCTTTCCTAGGTTTCCTTTTCTACTTGCTTTCATACTGTCCCTCCTTGCTGAGTTGGGATCTTGTTCTTTCAGTTATCTCTTCCCACTGGCTCCTTCCCATCTACTTACAAATACCTTCAGACTTCTGGACTAATAAAACTGTGCTTTCCCAGGGATAGTTTCATAGTGAAATTTCACAAAGGACCTCTCTCTATGCCTAGTCTCTTTCCAATTCCACATTTGCAACTGACCATCATCTCTGGGTAGCCTGTGGACACGCAGATTCATTCACTTTGGAAACAACTCATTCATTTGTAAGAGTGTTACTGGTAATAGTAAAATTAGAAATAAGTAACTGTTCAAATTGAAGGAAGAAATAAGCAGTTTTAAATGTTGCAGTAATTAAAATAATACTTCATGTGTTAGCATAGAATAAATACAAAAGCAACTATGCCATATTTTAAATAGGAAAGAAGATAGTTTTAGAGGAAAACGTCTGAAAGGAATGACATTTTATTGATTCCAAAATGTTAACAGGTATCTCTGGGTATTGAGGTTGCAGATGAATTTCACTTCATCATCTGTATACTCTGAAATTTTTAAAGTATGTATAATAGGGAATTACAATAAGACTCTTCTGTAGGAACTGAGGCACAAATACAGTAGATAACCTGATTCCCAGGTGAGTGTGAGGCAGACCCCCATATATAGATTTTGCAAAAGGAATGAAGAAGAATCTGTCTCACAACTCTGCTCTCTGAGTCAGATCAAAGATATAAAGGAGTCAGAGAAAGAAGAATGATAAAGATGTTTCCTTGGAGAAAGCTGCTGCTATGCTCTGAGTTCTTTGGGTGCCTCTAAATCAAAAGGCTCCAGGAAACATGTCTTCATACTAGGATTTAGAGCTCGTAGTATGGGGGGGACTCAGAGAGGTGATGCCTGAGAAAGTTGAACTGTAGATAGGGCCTGACTGTATGACTGGAAATATAAAGGATGACAGAAAGGCTGGCAAAAAGCATTGGGATGGAAGCCAGGGAAGGCTGCTGCCTTGAAATTGGCCTTCACTGCCTATTTCCTGAGAGCCATATGGGTACCAACAGTGGGAAGAGAGTTGCCTTAGAGCTGTCTTGAACTAGAAGGAACTTTATGGATGCCTAGGGATTGAGGAAGGAACTGCAAATGACTACCTAGATATAAAGACATAGTGACCCACCAGAAAACCACTGAAAAATTTTCAAGAAAAGTAGCCCAGAGAGGAAGCATAGGCTTTAATTACTTGCCAGGCTTGAGACACCAGCCTTAAACATTTGCTAAGCCTAGAAAGCATTAAGTCACCCACCCCTCACCTCTCCTCATCTTAACCCTCTACTGCTTATCATCCACCTGGCTGGAGCAAGAAAAGAAGCAAGTAGGGGAGGAACTAAACTAGGAGTGATTAGGAAGGAAAAGTCAGCCATGCTCCCACCCTATTTACACTGAAGGCTTTAGCCAACCTAAACTGGCAGAGTAGAATGCTGTAATGCTGTTTGAAATTTTTGTTGTTTTAGAACTTGATATTCTAATTTCTGAATTAAGACTGCACTTATTAAAGTGACATTGTACTATGAATGCATAGTACAATGCATAGTACAATCTAAGGGGAACAGAGAAGTAATGGGAACTCTAGACTTTTTTTGGTCCTGGGGTAGCCCTACCACTGCGATACATCCTCTGTCCTTTTTTAAATTTTGAGACAAGGTCTTGCTAAGTTGCTAAGGGTCTCACTAAATTGCTGACTGGCCTTGAACTTGCAATCCTCCTGCCTCAGCCTCCCAAGTCACTGAAATAACAGGTGTGTGCCCCTACTCCCAGCTGAACTGCTAGTTTTTTTTTTTTGTTTGTTTGTTTGTTTGTTTGTTTTTGAGTACAGGGGATTAAACACAGGTGCACTCAACTCATCCCCAATCCTTTTTTTATATTTTAGAGACAGGGCCTCACTAAGTTGCTGAGGCTGCCTTTGAACTTACAATCCTCCTGCTTCAGCCTCCTGAGTCACTGGGATTATACTACTGTGCCCAGCTACTAGAATTTTTATCTAGGAAGAAAGAGCAAAGGAAGAATGGGAAAACAAAAATCAAGTTATATCACAATCTGTTCATAATGCTTGTTGCCAGAAGCCCCCTTATGATTTCCTCCTCCATTTCTTATCCCCAAAAAGGTAACAGGTCTTCTAATAGTATAAATTTGTTTTTGTCTGTTTTTATATTTTGTACACATGGAATCATTCGGGATTTTGTTTTATTTATGGTTTCTTTTATTCCACATTTTGTGAGGTTAATCCATGTTGTTGCAAGAAGTTATACTTCATTCATTTTTATGCAAATGGTTTTATTTGTTACTTAAACCATGGTTTTCTCATGCTGGCCTGACAGCACCAGGGGTGTGGGACAGGTTGCTGAACTATGGGTGACAGTAGTAGCCAGCAGATTAGTGACAGAAGTGAGAAGGTACTGCATTCTGAGTGCCTATCACCTGATTCCCAAGAGAATATCATGCAGCCCAAGTACAGTGTTGGATTGAGAAGAGCTGAGGCAGGAACAGTCTCTATGTGTCTCCCCACTCTGGTGAGAATGGATCTCACATGATACAGAGCCCACTGGAAGGCTCCAGTCCTGTTGAATTGAGCAGACTAGTGGCAGCACCTTTTGCTTTCCTTTATTTATTTCCTGCAGGGCTGCCTATCTCAGGTCTCCCTTCTTCACCTCCCAGGCCTTTGGCAAAAGTCACCATGATTCCTGGGGAGAATCCTGCAATTCCCAGACCTTTCCTGGGATCAGTGTCTGATCTGATAGAGGTAGCCTATGGGACCTGGTTTCCCAAAGTTCTGGCAGATCCTAGCACTTGTCCTGAGTTCCAATGCTGCTCACTAGAGGCCGTCTTAGTGGCAGTGCTCTGTGCATCCAGCCAGTGGGAAGCGGTGCTCCAGGACTTAGCGGTTAACTGCAATGATGTAGCAATTGAGCCTGGGCTTTCTGCTTGGGGAGCCTCCTCTATTCAGTGATCTCCTGCACACTCCTGGATCTGGAGCCATTCCTCAGCCCCCTGGTCCCCACTGCACTGAAACAGGCCCTGGAATCTGCAGCAGGTCAGCATCCTGGAAGATGTTGGCCGAGGCCTGCCTGTGGCCCTGGGCTTCAGTGGGGGCCTGCCAATAGGACAGCTCACTCACTACAGGGCTGGGGTGCCCATTGTGAGCACGCTGGTTGCCCAAGGCAGGCCGCACGCAGTCTAGAGCTGGCCCAGGCCACCTCAATAACAGTCAGGTTTCCCCAAATTCATTCATTTGTATTATTATATAATCTTCTATAATATAAATATACCACAATTTGTCCATTTACTGATAAGCATTTGGATAGCTTCCAATTTTTGCCTATTACAAACAATCCTACTGTGAATAGTGTATTATTTTTAATAATGAGGTGGGAAGCTCTTAAAATTCTTGCAAATAATCTCTTTTCTTTTCCCACTATTACCATCCTAGTTTAAGTCTTCAAAATCTTTCACTTGGATATCAGCAGCCTCCTCATTGATAACTATAGCTACAATTAATCATAAGTATTACTACCAGGTTATCTATCCAAAGCATAACTCTAGTCATGCCACTCTTACTCAAAAAATATTCAAGGTGTGTCCTAGTCATTGCCCTAGGCAATGGCCTAGCTTGTC